CTTAACTGGAGGACTGTTTTTATAGCGTTTGGGGAACACGCGGTCTGAGGACCTTGGGGGCAGGCAGGTTGCTGACTGAGGTCCATGGTTCCTTTCATAGTCCCCTGTTACAGGTGGTGCCCCAAATGGCAGTCAGTCCGCAGGGAAGGGGGGAGGAGGTGCCAGGCTGATCCTTGCATGCCTGTTCTTGGAAACCCCAATACACACACTGGAAATGGGGGTGAAGTCAGCTCCCCAGCACGGGTTGGAGGCAGGTGGAGAGAAGGCTTTCATTTGTCCTAAGCAGAACTGTCTCGGGTGAAGGAAAGGTACTGGTCCTGTGAGATCATCACCCCGAACCCCACTTAGCGGTGAACACAGTTGTCTTGGAAATTCTGACTCCCGGGGCTGTGGCCCACAGTTGGGTTTCACCCCAGCACCAGGAAAAAGGCTGGGGTGATAGGAGTCAGTGTGTGTGTGTGTGTGTGTGTGTGTGTGTGTGTGTGTGTGTGTGTGTGTGTGCGCGCGCCCGTGAGGCTGTGTTGCGGCCCCTGGTCCCGGCTCAGAGACTGTTGTTTCTTCAAGGCCTTTGGCTGTGGTTTCCATGGAAGTTGCCGGCAGAAGCCAGATTACAAGGACCTTGTTCTTATTTCAGGTTCGCTTCCACTTTCCTGGACATTAAGAAAAATGCAGCAGATAAGGGGCAGCGTCATCAGAAACCTCAATCTTTTCTGGAGGTTTCTGGAGACCTTCTCTCTGTGATGCGCTGGTCCTGGCACCTTCTGCCAAGGATAGGGGCACCTGGGGAGCAGAGCAGACCTGGCCCGGGTCCTGGCTGGGCCCGAGACAGCCTTCCAGCTTGTATACTGGCGGAGCGCCGGTTGACCGTGGGGGATGGATTCATTTGGTCAGTGTGGGCCGAGGACATGGCAAGGCGGCTTGAAGTCTGTGAAGGAAACCCACTCTGCCTTCTGGGGGAGGGGTGGGATTTTCTACTCAGACTGGATTCTCGGCCTGCCCTGGTCTCACTTCCCACCTGTCAGGGGTAAGCAGCCTTGGCAGTGAGCCAGCCTGTGGCCGCTGGCATCTTGGAGGGAGACAGGACCTGGGAGCATGGGCCGAAACGCTCGCTCATGCCGCTCATGCTCTGTGCTCTGCGGGTATGTGGGTACCAGCTTATGTATCAGCGAGGAGGGGGGGGGGGGCGTAGGGGGAGGGGGAGGGCGCCCTGGGAACTCTCTGTGGATGCCATCAACTCCCTGGCCTATTCAGACCTGGACACTGTCACTACCGGAAGTCCTTCATGTTTATCTCAAGATCAGGCTTGTGGGCACGTGTCAGGGGCCTGGGGCTTGAGAAAGCAACTTTTCATTGCTTTTGTGGGTGGGGCTGGGTGGGACTGGGGCAGGGGTGGGGGTGGTTTTGGGGGAGCCACTTTCATTTATCCTTAGGACCTACTCCTGGCTCTGCATTCGGAGATCACCCCTGGGCCAGACTTGGGGGACTGTATGTGGAGCTGGGTTGGAACTAGAGTTGGCTGAGCGCTGGGCCAGCTCCCCACCCATTGTACTATCTCTCCAGCCCTCTTGCATGGCAGCAGTGAACTCCTGGCTTTCGTTTCTCTCCCTTGCCTGGTCCCCTGTGCTTACGGCTGTCAGGTTACGGTTGGCCCCAGCTTTCATCCATTTTAAAGAGCTCTTTTTCCTCTTGCTATTGATGATGATGGTATGGAGACAGATGGTGTAACTGCTTATGAATGTCCTACTTTATTTCCTCAGGACCAGACAGCGGTTCCCTGGAAGACGTATATTATTTCCACATGCTCAGGTTAGGCCCCCAGAGCCGCCTGCCTCCTGCGGCTCGCTGCCCTCCCAGGCCTCGCCATGCAGAGGGCGACACCTGTAGGTCACAGGTGGGGTTGCAGTGAAGCTCCCACTGCACTGTGTGAGACCCGGGTTTTAGCTGCCGGGACTTGGACTGGAAGGTGGCTTGTCTAGGACGCCCCTCAATCATCGCTTTGTTCAGCCCGAGCTCAGGGAAGAATTTCAGTGTCAGTGTCACAAGTGGTGATACTAAACTGAGGAACTGCAAAAGAAAAGAAGAGGACTTGAATTGTGACAGAGACAGAGACAGAGACAGAGAGAGAGAGACAGAGACAGAGAGAGACAGAGAGAGGAGAGGGAGAGGGGCAGAGAGAGGGAGAGAGAGGGAGAGAGACAGAGACAGAGAGGCGAATCAGCTCCTGCCGTAGCCTCTTTGATCCCGTCTGTCCTTGGAACTTAGCCGCCCTCACTTCTGTGCATGTAGCAGGACAGGGAGGGACAAAAGCAAAGGCCCAGGTCTGCTCAGAGAACAGACAGGCCATGAATATTCATCCACAGCCTGCGGTTGCCTGGCTCCGGCTCTGTTCTCTGCATAGATTTGTTTGAACAGGCACACTGGGGTCAGTGACGAAGTGACCATGAGTCCTTAACTCTCTGCTCGGTGGCGGGTACAGCGGATGCTCGAGGGAGGCCAGGCCCTGTGGCTGGCCTTCCACTTAGGTAACCCTTCCCTGCCTGGTGACACCTGCAGCCCCCCCCCCCCCTCCCGCAGGCCGTTCTCTGTCCTGTAGGTATCAGATGTCTCCCTCTCTGGTTGTGTGTGTGTGGGGGGGGGGTGCACGTGAGCTGGGGGGAAGGAATCGGGGATCCATGGAACCATCTTGTTGCTTGATCAGATTTGATTTGTCTATCAGTGCGACATATATTTTGTATCATAGCAAGTATTTAAGAGACCCATAATTTGGGTAGTCCCAGTGTATATTGATTGAATGCTGGTTAATGAGTGTATTTTAAGAGAGCCGTAACTTGGGTAGTCCCAGTGTATATTGATTGAATGCTAGTATCACCATTCGATGATGGATTTGATTATTACAGTGTTGAACACATCCCCACAACACCTAGAATGTGCATTTGAAATTTCTACCGAGGTGGTGCATGTCCTACTGTGTAACTTGCTTGCACTGAGAAATTGAGCCCTACTCACACACATTTTTTTTCTCTCTACTTAATGACAGTGTTAGTTGGCCGATGTTTCTTTTTGCACTAAGGAAGGTTATAAGAGATATGATGTTAGCTTTTACTGTGCTATGAAAAAAAATGGAAACGAAATTCTATGAGGAAGCCTCTTAGCTAAAGATCAAAATTAACAGTATCTTATTTCTTCTGTGTTCCTCATAAACCTAGTGGTAGTAATGAAGAACAAATGTTCCTCTAACCCCGTAGCTCTTGTCCGTTCCTGGGATTGCCATTGTTGCGGGGGGGGGGGGGGGGGAGAAGTAAGAGAATCTGGCTCTAAATAGACACTTTCTTCCTCAGTCTGTTTCATAAGCTCATTGAGATCAGTTTACTTTGAATTCCTTTTACTTCCTGAGGTGATATTTAGAAACTGTGAGGTTTTTTTGTGTGTGTGTTTTTTGAGGGTTGGCAAGGGGTGCAAATACTGAAATAGTGAAAAGTGGAATAGAAGTTGACGGACTCAAGGGTGGCTGGACAGAGTCCCAAGCCCAGGGTCCTAAATTGGACCCAAAATTGTTTCCTGGAGGTCAAGTCTAGTGGCGGTATTGGGTGACGATGTGAACAGTGGGACCCTCTTGTCTCTGTGCCAAGGAAGGGGGTGTTCCTGGCGGTCTCCCCACAGCTTCATCAGGAAGTCCCCTGGTCTGCCTGCCTCGTTCACGTGCCTGACCCAGCCCTCACGTTTTGGATAAACATCTAAAGCAGCATTTCTGAGCCTTTTTCTGCCGGTGGCGCCCCCAACATTGCTTGGTTGCCCCTCTACCCTGACCTACTGGTTTGCCTCCTGGTCTTGTGCTGTGGCCCCCATTAGTGGTATTTTTCACTTGTGGCCACCTTGGAATGTCCCGGGGGGCCAGGATGAGCCACGCGGAGGCTCTGAGATAAAGCTGTGGACAGTAGAGAGAGATTTTGCTTCTTTTCCTCAGTGTGAGTGTCTTGTTTTGTTTTGTGTCTGGACCGCACTTGGTAGCACTCAGGGCTTACCCTTGGCTCTGCACTCAGAGAGTACGCCTGGCGGGACTCGGGGGACTACGGGTGCCAGGGACTCAGCACGAGTGTTTTGTTCCCCCCCACTGCTATGACATGAAGCCTTTTCCTTCCTGTCACAGACACAGTTTGGGAAGTAGCCATTGCCCTTGTGTCACTAAAAGCTCTGCACAGTGCTGAGCTGAAGAGAATTTCTTTGGTTTGTTTTTAATCCAATGATGGGTAAAAGCTGAGAATAACTTTTAGAAAAGTGTGTGATTCCGTGATGATGGGTTCCCCCCTCCCCCTTTTCCTGTAAACCAAGATTCTGGCCACTGACACCGGGAATGGCCACAGATGATGTCTGGGTTCTGGAATCTCAACACTGATGAAACCGTGTCACTGATATTCTGTGACTCTTGGCAGTGCAAATACCTGTGCTGCCTGGCCTGGTGGCATGTTTGCAGTCACATTGAGGCCCTCCCGGGACTCGGTGATCGGACCTGAGTGCTGGAATGTGTGGGCCAGGCAAAATGCACACACATGGCTCTTCCTTGTATTTCCAAGTGGGAAAGCGTTTGTGAGTGGCTGTGGGAATTCTGATGGGGTTAGGAGGAGAGCTCCAGCCAGGCATTCAGCACTCCCGGGTCCCCATTGCCATACATTTAGAGGGAGTCACAGCCTCGTGCCGAAGGGGGCATCCGAGGGGGGATCTGAGTCCCTACAGCTCTCTCCGACCCGGGCACCTGCATCGTGCAGCTGGGCTTTCAGGGAAGCCCAGGACTGGCCAAGGGAGATGGCTCCATGGGCTGCAGCACAGGTGGGAGCCCTGGGTCCCCTTAGCCCTGCCCCGCCCCCATCCCCCCAAATTAGTGCCAGAGGAGTCTGTTGTTTACATCCTGCTTTGTGGTTGGTGATTCTCGAATGCAGGTGCCAAAGCCAGTCAGTTTTCAGTCTAGACTTAACCTTGGGCTTCTGGTCTTTTCTCCGTTTCAGAAGAAGCCATTGAAGATGTCGAAGGGCCCAGTGAGACGGCAGCTGACCCAGAGGAGCCCACGAAGGACCAAGAGAGCGGGAGCGAGAAGGACCAGAGCAAGTGGATGGGTACGGCGTGGGAGGCGGAGGCGCCCTGTGGGCCTGGGGCAGGCGGGCAGTGTGGCTTCTGTTGTCGGTACCTTCGTTCTCCTGGTATCTTGTTATACCAAAGGGTTACCTGAGTTTTTGAGAAAAGAGCCCCAAAGCTGGGTTGTGGATTGAGAATCTGGCTCAGGGCTCTGTGGTGAGGTGCTCCCCTTCCATCCTTGGTGATGCTACTTCCTTCCAACAAACTGTCTATGACCCCCTCTGCTACCATGCCCCGCACTGGGCACTGTCCTTTGGATCACTTAGGAGCTGGAAGTAAAGGGTGGACCAGGCCCTGCAGAGCCTTCCCGTCTTGCCCCATGGATGCTGAGACTCCCCTGCAGGGGCTGGCAGTGCGGCCATATGTTGGGGAGTTTAGGGGTGGCTTCTTAGCCAAAGCAGAAGACACTGGAGAAGTGGGAAAGCAGGGGTTGTTTCCAGAAGGGCAAGTGTCAGGAGGGACCCCTCACAAAAATGACAGAATTTCTGTGTCCAGAGAGGAAAGAGCCAGGACCAAGAAATTCTTAGGATTTTCTTTCTTTCTTTCTTTCTTTTTTTCTTTCTTTCTTTCTTTCTGAATGGCCAGGTCATTTCTGCAAAGACTTACTGGGACAAATGAGTCTTTCAGAAACCACCACGGTCCTTGGAGTCAGTGGCATGGCAGGAGACACACTTCAGCCTTCCATTATTAATGTTGTAATACCTGGGAAAATTTTTTTTTTTTTTGGAGAAAGTATTTACCTACTGGAGCCCCTGTGGGTTGGCCCTTTGTTGCTTCTCCAGGCACAGCTGTTGTTTAAATCATGTTCAGCGCTGCCCTTCCCTATTCAAATAAGATCCCGAATCCTGGAAGAGAGGCCCAGGAGTGAGCAATGAGAATGAGTTTCTCCCTCCAAGGAGGGGCTGAAGGAGCCGGGCTCTTGGGCCTGGACAAGAGACCCTTGAGCCTGTGGCCTAGCAGGGGAAATGGCGCTGTCTGACGTTTCCAAGTGAGGTGGGTGGGTGCGGTGCCATCATGCGCTGAGTGACCCTTGTCCTCCTCCCCCAGGTGGGTCCTCCTGAGGCCTGTACTGAAGTATCTCTGAGGGGGATGGTGGGGAAGGTGGGAACAGAGAGGGCAGGATGACACGTGGGCTTCGAGCAGGATGCTCGCTCTTCCAGGATCTGGAAGCCCCCTCCTGTGTCTGCCAGTGGGGCTTTCCTGGAGGCAGGTGCAGGTGGAGTTGCCATCCAGACATAAGCTCCCGTGGGCGCCATCTGGGTCCCTGGTGCCCCAGTCTCTCTGCGCCTTGGTTCTCACTCCCGGCAGAGATTTGGGTTTTGTAAGGTGAGGAATACCAGAAGCATTTTCTCTGGCTGCTTGAGTATGGCCCAGGCAGCTTCCAGCAGTTTGGCGACGTCACCGAGGGTAAGCGCCCGTGAGCGTTGAGTGCGGAAGGCATTGGGGTGTTTTCTTATACTGTGTTCCAGATACTCATAAACAGCGAGAGTCGCTGTCATTCGCCAAGCTCCAACTGCGTGCCCCAGGCCCCACAGTCCTTCCGGCTAGGGTGGGGGAGCTTTGTGGTGCAAAATCGATGAGGTTTTGAACGCCCTGATAACTCAGGAGAAAGGCGTTTTCAGGGTACTGTGTTGGAAGCTTGCTGACTTCTGGACACCACGAGCACCTGGAACAGGGTTTTAGTGAGACTCTCATTTCCCCCTCAGTCACACACCAGGCCATCAGCGACCACTGCAGAGGGCAAGAAGGGCAGGGGGGTGGGGAGACAGAGGAAGAATGAATGAATGAATGAATGAATGCTAACTCGGGTGCACCTTACCAATTACACAGTAGGAAGGAGAAGGGGAGAATGATTTCCTAACTGCTCTGGGGGACCCTCTTTGGTCCCAGAGTGTGCTTTTGTCTGTATTGTCTGTGTAATGGAAGACTTTATTAAGGTACACAGACAGATTTTAGAGTTAATGTAGGTGACAACAACAACAATCTTTTTGGAGCTTTCTTTTGGTATTTTGAAAATAAGAGGAAACCTGCATTTATTCCCCTTCCTCCCTTAGTTGCTCTGTTCCCATCCGATGTGATGTGATGGGGTGGGGGGGGGGGGGCGTGCTTCCTCCCGGCAGATAATAGGAATTTCACTATTCGTGGTGTTGATTAGTAGCTGTCCACAATGCAGATGAGCAATATTTCAAATGGGCCTGGATAACTAGCACCTTCTTGGGGGCTGAGTCTGGGGGCTTGTGCAGGAATGGGTGATGGTTATAAAACTTTTTAAAAATTCTTGCCCCTGGTTGAGAATCCCATTCTCCTGCTTTAGCGCCATTTACTCTGTCTGGGCATCTTTTGCATAGGTGGCTGATTGCTGTTGTTGCTGTTTTGCTTTGACAGCTAGGCAATCAAATGAATGATCTGAATTCTGGCAGAACCCACTGCCAGTTCCGGGGATGGGGGGTTCTTAATGTGTGCTGGGCACTGGGCAGAGAGTCCCCTGCTCACCGCTGCTGTGACTGGCCTTGCCTTTAGGGACAGGAGCCGCACTTGGTGGTGTGTGCAGTATCTCCGTCACTCACTGCCGTCCCCTGGACCTCCTGGTGCCAGTGGGCATGTTCCACGTGGATGCCAGCACATGCAGTCAACCCACCGTGGCTGCTGAGTACCTGAAATATGACTGGTACCAACAAGGAACCACATTTTAAGTGCCACTGAAGTTGAACAACTTTAATTATTTTTTAAAAATTATTTATACTTGGGGGCTGGAGCCATAGCACAGGGGTAGGGCATTTGCCTTGCACGCGGCCAACCCGGGTTCAATTCTCAGCATCCCATATGATCCCCTTAGCACCGCCAGAGGTAATTCCTGAGTGCAGAGCCAGGAGTGACCCCTGTGCACTGCCAGGTGTGATCCAAAAAGAAAAGAAAATATTTATACTTGGCTTTATGGGGGTCACATCTGGCGATGCTCAGGGGTTACTCCTGGCCCTGCACACAGGAATTTCTCCTGGTCTATATGGGATGCCAGGGATTGAACCTAGGTCTGCTGTGTGCAAGAAAAACTCCCTCCACGCTGTGCTATTGCTCCGGCCCCTGAAGTTGAACAACTTTAAACCGAGCTAACCCCACGTGACCCTTGGCTGCCATTCACCGGGGAAGTACAGGCAGATGCGACACTCTGGAACAACGTGTGGTGGGTAGACTCACTCGCCAGCAGTGTCCAAGCGATAAGAAGCTCAGACGCGTTGCCCAACACTGTTCCCGTGACTCGCCCCGTCCTTCCCTGTAGGCGTCCCCAGAACATGAGTAAGTTTCCCAATGAGGCCTGGGGACTGGGGGTGGCAGGGCCAGCTGCGGCCTCGTCACTCCTGTTCCTGTCATACTGTGTGTGCTGCCCCATGCGCAGCCCTCAGAAGCACTGCCTTGGAGGTATTTTTTAGTTTGTGGTTTCAGGGCCAGACCGGGCAGTGCTCTGGCAGGCTTCCTCCTGGCTCTGGGCTCAAGGATCTCTCATGGCGGGCCAGGGACCAAACCCAGTTGGGCCGCATTGCAAGATAAGAACCCGCTGAACAACATCCCCAGTTCAGTACGTGTTTCCTCACCAGAGCTTCCCCTGCGCCCCCCTCCCCCCCGAAGCATTTTGCAGTAAGAAAGCAGGTGGCAGGTGGCAGGCGGCACGAAGCCCAAGCTCTCCCCAGGGTGCTGTTCCACCACCCGTGGCATGGATTTTTCCAGTCGAGGCATTTGACCTAGTTTTCGTCTCCATCCTGGCTGAGGGAAGAGGTGCACGGGGGAACCCCACAGTGGCAGTGCCACGAGAGGTGCCCCATGTCCCAATGAGTAGGTTTGCCAGTGGCGTGTCTGCGCCTGGGAGCCTGGGGGCAGGTGGATTGGGAGTGGCATGGAAGCGTGTTCTCAAGTGTTCTCCTGAGGCTGCCCAGGGCTTCGCTGGCCACCAAGGGCCTGTCTGTGTGGGGCTCTGGGTATCATTTGAGGACCAGGGCTGCTGCCGGCTCCAGCCCAGTTTGGGTAATGGCGAGTGGTCTCCTATGTCCAGGCCCCTGCAGGGGACACGTCTCTTCCCACCTTCTCAGTGCATCCTTCCCCCACCCCGCCCCCCCGCCCGTCCTCACACTGCTGGAGGGACACCTCGGAAATGCAAGTTGTAGGCGACAAGCCCCACCCCCACCCCCCGCCCCTGTGTTGGCAGCTGAGCGGTAATTAGTCCAGTGATGATCTTATCGATCATTAATTGCTGGAAATTAAGCGATCAACATTTAACGAGACGCTTTATCACCCATAGTGGGCGGGGGGGGGGGAGGGGAGATAGTGAGCTCTTGGCACAGACTCCCGTAAGAGGGTGATTTAACGCCTGTGGTCACCAGGGCCCCAGAACTCTAAGCTGGGCCGAGTTCCGCTCATTTGAGACGATGACCAGGGCTACCAAGGGGCCTTCTAGAGAACAGGCCAGTCAAAAAAGCAGGACGGCAGTCTGACTTTGGGAAAGAAAAGGGTTGTTTCAAAACTTTCTTGTAGTCTGATATTTGTGCAAGTTACACTGTTAGTATCTTTGTCAAAATTTTTGAGTTCGACTTTGTCCTTTGAGTGTTGTCTTATTAGGGGAATAGCCGGCAGGGATTTTATCATCATCATTATTATTGTTATTTTTGAACTCCATGATGCTCACCTAACACAGGGCAATTAGTGCGCTGGCGCGTCCCTGATTTCAGTCTATGGAAGACGGCCATTAGAGGCGGTGTTAATGGGCTGGCGGGGTCCGCAAGAGCAGGAGGGAAAGTGTGTTTATGGAGCACGGTGCTGGAAGGCATGATTTCAATCGGATTTGACATGTTTAACATAAATGTATAGTCGACTGCTCTGCTGCGTATGAGTAATTCCTGCAGACCCACAGCCTTTCTAATTACTGCAGTGGGAAAAAAAAGCAGGCCAGGCATATCCTGGTGGTGGAAATCTATTCCCTCCGCCCCCGCCT